AGCTTTGCAAAGATTTTGAGTCATTTTGTGATTTTGTGGCCATCTAGAGGTCAAAAAGATGCCATGAACGCTAGAAAGCGGACACACGTCTCTTGGATATAAAATTGCATTTACTGCCTACTTTACAAGAAGTTCAGACTGGTTTTTAAACTGGGGTCCATAAGTAAGTTCACCGAAAAATGTGTTAATGTAAAATAATCTTTATTGTTATTATTATTGTTGTTGCTGTAAATATGAATATTTTTTTATTTCCTCTTATTATTATGTATATTGATCAATAATAATAATAATAGTAAGTGTTAGTACCGTCGGTGTATGAAAGAGTGTATGAATGGGTGAATGTGAGGCAAACTGTAAAGCGCTTTGGTGGCCATTAGGTCTATGAAGGCGCTATATAAATGCAGTCCATTTACCATTTACCATTTATTAGATTATTTAATAATACATTTATTTTAATTAAATAAATTCCTAATATCATTATTGTTGTTAATTATATCAAAAAAAATCATAAAATTGTCACAGGGAATTGTGGGAATGTCAATTTACGTTTTTTTTTCACTGTAAATTATACAATGAGTTGTTCTTTTTCACTTACAAAAACTGTAAATTTAACGGTATTTTACAGTAAAATTACATTAAATGTACCATCACAGTAATTTACCGTATAGTACGGAAACTTTCTGTTGCATGTAGCATTTTTACCGTTAAAATTACGATTATTTTTTAAATGCCGTGCACCTGGTACCCAAATTTTGATGACCAACTGGTCTCTGATCAGTGAAATGAAGTGCCTACTGTTGTTGACGAGCACATGGATAGTGGACAGTCCGTTAGCAGGCGGTCACTCGATCTCACTTCCTGTCGCAGGTAATTGATTTCATTAATCAGAGCTAATGGAGAACACGCTCCGTGTCCACCAGGAATCAAGTGTGCCTGCACAGGTGGAGGGACTCCCGCTTGCTGTTGAGCTGTTAATTGTCAGAAGTCCTGTAATTAACATTCGTCAACTGGACACAGGAGGACGGACCTGCCAATTGATGGCACGGGCGGCGGGCCTGTCATTTGGGGGGAAGCTAAAATGATTGTGGTACTTATTGTGCTTTGATATAGTAACCATGCATGGCCTAATGACTATGCTGCATTTAAAATTAGACGTGCGCTGCTCTTGACAGGTTTTAAAGCTAAACCTGGGCTTAAATAGCTGTTTTGCTTTACCAACCGTGGCAAATATGCGTCAAGCTACGCCGTTTTAATCTTTTTCCGTCTTCTCTTAAATAAACTCCCAGCAGGATGTGCGTTTTATCAGTTCCCTCACAATTCCAAGAATGCCGTTATTACACTCGGCACTTCAAGCTCTCTGTCGCAAGAATGGAAAGCTTACAAGCCCATTGCACTCAACAGAGGGCTTAAGAAACAACCAGAACCTATGATGGCGAATTAAACCCAAGGTGACACCAAGCCAAACGGTAACCGAAGTCCCTTAAAAGTAACCACTGAATGATTCATAATACAAATGTCTTAGCCAAAAGGTGGTAGGTTTACAATAGGTGGGGCATGTATTCTTTTCCATCCAGGCTACGTCATAAGTGCTGTTTTATTATTAACAATGCTGGGTTGTTTGAACCCAAAATTGGGTAAAATATGGGCAAACCCAAATGTTGGGTTAAAAAAAAAAACTTTCAACTGTACATTTTTAAATTCCATTTTTAACCCAACATTTGGGTTTGTCCATATTTGACCCTTATTTGGGCTGAAATAACCCAGCATTTTTTAGAGTCTGCTTTGGCTGTGTTTTTGGACATGTTTGGGCATGTTTTTTCAAAGTTACATTTTTTAGGAGGGAAATGTGATGTTAAATCTGTTTATTAAGGAAAAGTTCACCTGCAAATGCATAAATCTTGTGCCATCATTATATATCACAATATATATCATTTTTGGACATTTAAATCATACATGTGTACATACAGTAAGTAGTTAAGTTTAATTATGTATTGTAGGTTATTTATTTTTATGTTATATTTATATTGTATGTTATATTATTTTTTAATTATTACCTCTATCTATCTATCTATCTATCTATCTATCTATCTATCTATCTATCTATCTATCTATCTATCTATCTATACACACACACACACACACACACACACACATTTAGCAGCACATTTATACAGTTAACTATGCCTTTAATTGCGCAAGAGAGAGTCAATGAATTTTCAAGTCATTTTTGGCATATCTTGTTCGTTCTGGATTCAACGGTATTAAAAAAAAACACCCGCCACAAATTCACCTCAGCCAAACACTTAAACGTATTAGCTTCAGCGAGTCACTGTTAACGCTTTTATCACTTAGATTTTAAGACAGTCAGACATCTTTTCTTATTACATTAGTGCCATTTTCGTTTCCCCTGAATGGGATGCACGCTAAATGAAAGTTACTCTAATCAGAGGCCAGATTTTATTGCGTGCCCTCGGCGGCGAGGTTTTTACGACTGACTGTGGACCCGTGAAGAGCCGAGGGACGTTGGTTTATCTTTGTTGGTAGTTTTGATAGAGTGCTTGCTCAGCACAGAGGGCATTAGGCTCATTATTGTGCCGCTACTATCAGGAGATGAGACTTCAGCGTTACTGCTGGAAAACACAATATTCAGCCGCTCGCAGCGGGATCTTATTTACCACGAGTGTTGCTGTGACAAAAGATGGCTTCAGCGTCGATAAAACAGCACGGATGTTTGCGCCACTCTCGCTCAGTTGTGCTTTTTATTACGTCTTGTTGAACTGTTGTTGAAAGTGCTGTGGCTATTTTCATTGTATAGCCGTCTAGCGTTAGAAAACACTCCTTTCGAGTCGTATACATCTCCACCTTCAATTTGCTAGCAACTTCTTTGTTATTACTGGGCGGATGTGAGTGCATTTCCCCTGCTCATTTCCCTGTGTGCCAGGGGTAATCAGACTGTTGTGTCTAAGTGTCTCTCTCTCTCTCTCTCTTTCTCTCTCTCCGACTGCATGTCAGTAATGCTCCGCACACACAAGTCATTGCAGCACAGCCCGCCTTGGCTCTGTCGCCGTGCCAGTGTGCCAATCCTGCCCGGAGCTGTGGCTCTTACAAGCCCCCGCGTGCTAGATAAAACTTTCAATCCCTGTCACTTGATGGCTGTTGTCAGATGTCAAAACAAAGATTTTCGTCCTTACTTTACACACAGAGTCATTGTGTACAGTATTAACTGTAACTAAAAGCAGCGATGTTACTAACTAAAGTATTTTTCTGTAGTGCGACTGCATCTACTGTGTTTTCAAAACAATGCAGTTTTCCAGTAACTACTTTTCCCAATGGGAAGCGATGGAGCATGGCAACTTTTCATGTCACAAAAATCGTTCTTCTGTTTTGTTGCTAAATATTTTGGAAAATACAGCTGTTAGATGAGGGTTTTTTAACAGGCATGTTTATCACATTTAGCATATATGTAAGTTAATACACAATATTTTTTATAATAATGTTAAAATAATATGTATATAACAATAACATTAAAGTGAAATGACTGAACCTAGCCTGTTAAAAATGCTCATATATGCTCAAGTCTTCATATATAATATTGAATTATTTATATTTAGAGGATTTGAGTAGTTTAGTTTATTGATTTATAAAGCACATTTAAAAACAACATATGTTGAAACCAAAGTGCTGCACAAGAAATATGAAACATAAATAGTAAATGTATAATAATTGGGGCTGTCAAATGATTAATCGTGATTAATCGCATCCAAAATAAAGGTTTGTGTTTACATAATATATATGGGTGCACTGTGTAAACTTATTTTGTAAAAACACACGCATGCATGTATATTTAAGAAAAAAATTATGATTTATATATATATAGTATACATGAAAATATTTCTTAAATATATACAAGCATGTGTGTGTATTTATATATATAAAATAATTATACACAGTGCCCCCATATATATTATGTAAACACAAACTTTTATTTTGGATGCGATTAATCACGATTAATCGGTTGACAGCCCTGATAATATTTAAATAATGTTTAGAAATTGCATACACACATTATTGTTATCACATTTAGTTGAATTAATAACAATAAAACAATGTATAACTATATATTCTATTATTTATTTCTATATTTATTATTGTTAATTTCATTATTATAGTAGTGTGTGTATGTATATATATATATATATATATATATATGTAATTATTGTTTACATATTTTATTTATGATAATATTTATTGTTATTACATTTAATTAGATTAATAATAATAATATTAAATTAATAATAATAAACTATATTTTTATATTATTATTAATTTAATTAATTTCGATTATATATACTGTGTATATAATTATTCATTATTTTATATAGGTACATATTTGTTACTTATTTTATTACTAATAATTTGTTTAAGTAATAACAACTTTTATTTATTTGAAAATATGAGGAATGAATTGGGTTGCAGCCTTAGAGTTTCGACATCACCAGAGGGAGACGTAAGGTCAACGGGACGGCCCGTCATCCGTCCACCTCTGCCTGTTCTGTTCTAGCGTTCAGTGTGTGGTTTACGGAGTCTATCACAGGAACCTAAACGGCGTCCTCATTAGCTCCCTGCATGGGGTCTGGGGCCGCCCGCGGCTCTCTGCAGCATCAGACAGAGTAATCCTGTCTCATTTCATGTCTTTCTGGCCTGCCATCTGACCTCTACCATCCCTGCCTGCTTTCTTTATTTTTTCGGAGGCAGCTGAATGCGTTTTCAGACAGAAAGCCAGTTCTTCTGGTGGTTAGCAGCTGTTGACAGTATCCATGTGTCTGTCTAAGAGATGTAGATTTTGGCTTCCAGGGAGTGTTTGTTTATGGGTGTGTGTGTTTGTCCTTGAGTGGTGAATGACCATCACAGTGCAGTGTTACTAGCTGCTAGCTGTGTGTGTGTGTGTGTGTGTTGGATGTTCTGTTTAACTGGAATTGTGTGTGTATTTGTGATTGCAGAGTGCAGCGGCAGCTCCGAGTCCTGTCCTTGGAAACATGCCCCCAGGAGAGGGTATGCCAGTCGGCCCCGTTCCTCCGGGCTTCTTTCAGGTACACACACATACATATACATGCATATGCTGCATAGTCATGGAGAGCTATGATTCCGGCATATATATATATATATATATATATATAGGGCTGTGCATTAACATAAATTTCCTGATAATTTTGATTTCATTTCATTATCAATTCATTTGGAAATATAGTGTCTTGCTTACTTTTGAGATATGGACATTTAATGGCTTTTCTGAGGTAAATGTATTGTTACGTGGCATTGTTTACCAGAGGTCTTTCCACAGTTAAAACACTAATTGAGCAATTTAATGATATGATTTCATGTTTATTTCATGCTACAACTAGTAAAAAAGAGGTTCACGTGCACTTAAACTGAGCCGCTGTCATGCCAAAAAGAGCGCCAAACTTATTGTTTGAATTTCGTTATAATATTTTGTCATAAAATGAGACTTTGTTTCATGTTTCATGTTCAAAAGTAATAAAGCACAAAGCTTATTTTGATTTATGAACTGTAGGGCTGTCAATCTTCCTCTATAATACTATTCGAATTCCATTCGAATTCGCGTTTGAATAGTATTGATTTTTTTTTAATATTCGAGTTATATTCGAATTTCGGAATTCGTTCCAACAGCCCTAATGAACTGGAAGGCGCTATAATGCTTAGTGAAGTTTGTTCGTGCATCAACTGAAAACAGCATAGACTAAAAGATAAATTCTTGGGATTTAAGAGTAGGGTTGGGTATCGTTTGAATTTGAACGATTCTGATTCCGATTCCGATTCCTTGTTTCGATTCCGGTTCCCAACGATTCTCGATTCTGATTCTTTTAAGAGCCAGGGTCAAAAAAGTTTAGCTAACCTTGCTAACCAACGGTCTTTCTGAAGGAAATAATCCTTTCTGAAGGAAATACTCCTTTTGTCACAAACACACACTTTGGATCGCCGACGTAAGCTAGTCATGTTCGACTCGCGCGGTTATGCCAACACTTCCAGTAGACGCTTCTTCGTTGGTGTTGTTTCTTCTTCCGCTCGGCGGACTGTGAATATCGAAACTAGGAATCGGAATGTTAACTTTTGAACGATTCCGGGAAAAACTAAAAGTTAGTCCCGGTTCCAATCGATACTCGATTCTCGATACCCAACCCTATTTAAGAGTCAGTACTGGTTCCTCAAAATGAGAATCGATTAAAATCAAGAAATCAATATTTTGAACCCAGCTCTACTTCATACTGTGCCGTAATGTATATCGTTTGCTTTGGATGGTCAAGTTGAGTACATTGCATTGTGGGAATAGTATTCCTTGAGGTGTTTTGTGGTTTTTCACTGCAAAGTTGCATACTTCATGCTCTCAGATTCATAGACATAATGCAAATCTAGTATGTCACGAACTGTCAGTTTAGTTTTCATTCTCATGGACTTTTAGTTTACTTATCTTTATTTCCTGTTGTCTTTGTTCACATTTCCCGCCTCTTGTTTGGTAACATGGATATTCATATTTGAGTTTGTAATCAGTGTATACTTGAGTTCCTTTGTTTCCTCAGTTCTTTGTCGGTTGTTGTTTGTGTCTAGAGCACTCTGTTGCACATTCTGGAATATTCAGAGTTTATTTTAGCATTAAATTGCCTAGTATTTGGAACCTTTCTGACTCATCATCACCTTTGGACCTTCATCTACGTAACAACAACTGACCAAGAAAAAAATGGACTATGCAGAAAAGTTTACTGCTGTAACCCAGAAGGGCCATGATTTCGTAGATTATACTGAACAGTTTGTCTCGCCGTCAGCACCCTTCGATAACGAGACCCTGGAATCATTGTTTTGGATCGGGGGCAACTACCACCAACCAGTAGACCTCCCAGACACCCAGGGCCTACACTGGAGAGTGTCTACCCCAAATCATTACTACAGCCAGAGTCCAGCCTACCACCACCCTCGACCGCGGAGAGTGACAGCCTGCCGGGATGAGTGAGCTAGAGCCCGAAGAGTAAGGGACAGTGCCAACCATCGCCCCAGAGCCAGTGCCCCAGAGTGTGTCTGACCAGGGGTGTGAGCCAGTGAGGACTGGCTGATGGATTTGGACACGGAGATACTGCCTCAAACCCGGAATTATCTGTCTGCTCTGAATCATCGCTGTTTAAAGACAGCACTGGGACTGTTTCGTTTACCTGTTGAGAATTGTCTTCCCCAGGAAAGCATTGCTGCGACGTGAAGCCTCCGTGCAACCACCAACCTCGCCCAAGCAAGAGGATTCTGTGGCTCCGCCTCCGGCCTCTGATTCCTTCGTTCTTCCTCTTCCTTGGCTCCTCCCACCTTCAGCTCTACCAGATACCCTTGACCTTGCGGCTCCACCGGGTTCCCTCGTCCCATCGACTCCTCCTTGATCAATTGTCGCTTAACCTTCGCCACAGCTGCGTTCAGTCCCTCCACCCCTACGGTTACAGCGAGTTCCTCCTTCCCTCTGGCTCTGCCTCTGTCCTCGGGCACTCTGGCTCCTCGTCGCCATGACTTCGCCCTTGGTCTCCAGTGCCAGTGGTGTTGCTCAATACCATTGGCTCTTCAACTGAGGCCTGGGATCCATTGGCTTATCTCTGTTGGTTGTCACCCGTATGTTGACGGTCCCCTTTTCAACATGGCTCCTCCCGCCATCGACTCCACTGTGGACTGTCGTCCCAACTGTGGGTCTCGGTAACTGGGCAACTACCATCATCGCCTCCAGGGTCTCGTCTGTTTCTTTTCACCAGCCCTTTGCCACCACCTATCACCACCTTGTCCACATTCTTTCCCCCACCGTTCCTCCCTCACCTCTTCAGTTACGGTGCGAGGTTGCGCCTTCTCAGAGAGGGCAAACTAAATTCGGCAAACTACCTTATCTTTAACGGTTACTTTACCATCTACGGTGTAGAAAAATATTTCCAGACACTACTTTTTAGATGACTTGGGGTCGTATAATCCAAAATATTTCCAGACACTTTAAATAATCTCCTGAAAGGGAATCTCCTACAAATGTATATAATTAATATAAATAATATAACAATTATTAATATTTAATATTAAAAAATATAAATAATTTTACACTGTATGAAACCCTTAAAGATGTCAGAAAATCTGGCCCTTGGTGTATTTGGGTAGTTAACATGATGCGTTTTTTTTTATTCAATTCTGTATCATTCTTTTGTATCATTTGTGTCAAAGTATTGGATAATTATTATATGTACATTAATGAAACTTAATATTAATGTTGGACAATTTAAGTGAACTTAAAAAAAAGTCACTGAATCTAAAATATACACTTTCCATAATTATTAATAATAATATTAATAAATACATTTTGTTTCAAAATTTAATTTCAACATTTTGGTTATTTTAAAATGTAATGGAAAATGTGTATTTTAGGCTCTGTATATGGAAAATTTATATTTTAGGTTTCTTTATATTTTAGGGCATTACAAAGAGCATAAAACCACTTCAACTACCCATTTGAACATTAAATGAGTTTTCCTAAAGCTCACACAATCACAAATATGAGCAATATGAGCTTGAATCTGTTTTTTTTATTTATTTTTTTTTTGTCTGGTAGAGTTTGCATGCGAGTCAAATTTCATAGCCTCAGACTGACTGAGCATAACTTGCGTGTACATACTCATATTTCTTTTATCAACTTTCACCCTTGTATTTTATGATGAATGAGTCTTTGAATCCACTTAATTCTGTCTCTGTGAACAAAACAACACACACACATGTGGCTTAGTTCTTGAAGGCTGAATGATTCACTCCGAACAAACGTTCTTCTGTTCAATCTTACGTATGCGGTGCGATTGTGAAGTCCGCTTAAGAGAAAATTGGTGTGGCCTGGTGTGGTGATCTATGAAAAAACTGAGATGTGCTTTTCTGCCATTCACATTTAGGTGAGTGTGGAACGCTTTGTTGGTTTTGATTTGGTGTGGCGGTTTATGGCCTTGAATCACCTGTTTGATGGAAAGATAGGCAGATGTGATGTAACGCTTTGACCCAGATGCATCAAACACTCATTACTGACGGAAAACGGAAACTTCCTCTAGAGTCTGTGTTTACCGCCGCAGTTTGTGTAACTCTACACCTGTGTTGACATATGAGGTTTCGCTTTAGACGAAGAGTTCTTAAATCAGTCCCGTCAGCTTAAGGAGCGCTTATAAATCAGCCGTCTTTGTGCATAACGTCCCCGTCCTAAGGAGATGTAGTATTTGACACCCAGTGTGTCGTAATTGGTTTGATTAAGAGCGACAGGATTCCAACAGACTGACTGACTGAAGCAGATCTCGAAGCCTGTGGCAGGGGGCACAGGAATCTCCCGCAGATCGCTAATGGTGCTCGTCTAATAGAACGATAAGCTAAGAAGATCAAATCATCTTTCTTAAGTGGCTCAACAAAGGCTCATCTGCCTCCCGTGGTGTTTGACTGAAACAGTCTGTCTTGGTTATCAACATTTGATTTTGCTCTGTGTGTACAGTCGCACGATTGTCATCCATTTTGTATATTAAAAGAGTAGTTGACCCAAAAAATGAAACTTTGGTCATTTACGTTGTTAGAGAAACTAGGAAATGCCAGGCCGTCTGTTTGAGGAACGACCACTCCCCTAGAAGACAAAGGATGTTTCTGGAAATGAACATTTGAACTCTCTCTGGGGAAATTAATATCCCCATCCTAGATGCGAGTCTCACATCAGTGTCGTCTTAATCTACATCTCTCTCCCCCATTTTTTCTCTCCACATGCTGAGATCATTCACCCAAAAATCAATAATTTAAAGTGAACAATTGTCATACAACACTACACATGTTTGGTATCATTTGAAATCGTTCTGTGCGACTGGTGCAAAGGTCTCATCCCCAAGGAAGTAAACCAAAAGGTAATAACGTTTTTAAGAGTTTAAAATTATATTGCTTACAGAGAAAAGTGGGTCTTTCATTCAAATAGGATCCTGTCCTCAAAAAGTGTAAACTCTGGAGACCGTGATTAATGCAAATTCCCATTGTTAGCACATGTTTCTTTTTGAAAGAG